GTAATTTGTGCTTCACAGGACGGACATGACATAAGGCATTACACAAATTCAAATGAAATTTGATGAGTTTCTGTGTAAAATGAGATAAGAATTTAAACAGATTAAGGTTGATTTCTTTGTATACTGGATAGAAGATGTCACAAAACACTTCCCATGCACACACCACACACATATACATTTGCTTAAAAAGATAAGCAAGCTTAAGCCTGTTGTGGTTTGAAGTTACACTTGAAACTGGCAGATGGAAGTCTGTAATAGATTAGGGTGGATTTGTACACAATTAATGTGCTAAAAAATATTAACCCCCCTTACTGCTGAGTATCTTATATCTGGTATTGATTATCTATGGCTTTGTCAAGAATGTCATCATATAGAATTCTTTTGAATATAAATTACTAAGATAGTGTTTTCATCATGTTGTTCATGGGGCATTTTGGCTCTTGCATATGATCTTGATGACTGGAAAGATCACTGGTAGAAGAGGCAGAGGCAGACACAGAGAAACGATGGTAGATGGCGTAAGACAGTGGCATGGAGGGATATCATCAGTGGAATTGATCCAGAACACCAAGACCAAGATCTGAGGAGAGACATGAATGCTATGCCAGCTGGCAAAGCACTAGATGTTGATGATATGAGGTTGACTGAGAAAATTTGTGTTAAATTTAAACTGACTTGTAACATCATGGACATTTGAATATGTCAGATCTAGACCTTATGTTTTAGAATCTTTTCCTTACAAGCAATGCCCCATGTGGGATGATATATTATCCATCCGCACGAAGCAGCACATGATATGATCTAATATTTGGTCTCAGAATAATATGGAAACCTGGCTAGTTATGTTAATATTTAGCATTTTGTATAGCAAGCCAGCTGACATATCTTAACTGCACATTTAAGCCTGCATCTTGTCTCGGAAGCTATTTATTTTTGGCAGCATCAAACGCTAAGGCAGATTGGAAACAATAATGGTAGGGGCTAACTAACACAAAGATGGGCATATGATAAAAGTGACTCCTTGGATATGAAAGGGCACAATGTGGGAGAGCTGGCGAGAGATCAAGTTTCTTTCAGGCATGCTGTGATGAGAGTGACGTTCTGTAAAGGACCTGCTTCAAGATGATGATGACATTGGCCATTCAGTCCATAAATACTAGGATCCTATCCTCAAAATATACCCCAGTGTATAGTTGTTGATGCCACCAGTTCTGTATTTATACCATTTTATACAAATGTTAAATATGAAAGTACAGCACTCTTGCATTTGTTGTTGTGGGTAAAGATTCCCTTAAGCATCTGCTGCTAATCATACTGGGAAAGATAAAGTTAAAGAAGCAAAGTTATAAATAATGACTATATGTAATAACTCCCATTGCAACCATGCTGCAGTCCAGAAACTGTCATGTGAACTGCACATTTCCTCATCACTGATTTCAATAGCTGAGCTGGAACTGGCATAGCTTTTTTAGGCTCAGTGAGAAATTGTTCATATTCAGTTGTCTCTTCCTGTAAAAATGAACTCCATTATTTTCAACACCAAAAAACAAGATTGTTTAGCCAAGAGAGGGATTGAATATTCCAAAGCAAAATGTGACATATAATTATGAGTTAAAGCAGAAATAAGATCTATAAAGAGAAATGTATCAGCTGGACTGCAGTCACCCCTATTTACTTCATCACTTCAGATGTTTAAATTGACTGCGCTTGCCCCATGTATTCACATGTCGCTATCTTATTTTGTTTTAGATTCTGTGTTAAGTTCTATTGTCTTGCCTGTTGAGTTTTCTGGTCACACTTGGTGCTGTATTTAGTACTCTGTTGATAAAGACTTTAGTTGAAAGGTTCTGCTGCGGTTGTGTGCGTTTTTTCCCATTCCCTTCGTTGAGCTTTCTAGTCACATGTTGCGTTATATTTAGCATTTCATATTTTAAAGTAGCCTCAGTGTGTAGAAAATAACATTTGAGTTAGTATTCAATAGTGAGATAGTGGAATCAGTGTCTAAGAAAGAACACACACAAAATAAGAATGCACATGTATTAATTTAAAATTAAATGAAGACACCAGAGTATGCTGTTTTCAGATACAATAAAACCCTTTCAGTTTGAACAGTTTCAGAACTCCTGCTTAGATAATAATGAAAACAAGAGAGATAAATTTGGCCTTTCTACAAGCTGTATGCGTCAATTAGCTAGCAATCATTATAGTAGCACACTGTTGATTCAGTGATTCTTAAACACAGAAACACATCATAATGATGCAGCAGTAAGAGGCTGGCAGATGTGGCAGGAGAATTAACTCATGCCACACCAAGCAACCCTCTGTATGTTGATCCAATTACTGCTTGTGTTTTTTTCTATCCAACACTTATTCTTATCTGTTGCTAAATTTGCTAACCTGGTTGTTACTTTCCATCCTTAAGTCTTGTATTGTTATTTCTTGGTCTCATTGTGTCCAAATTTCATATAATCCTTGTTGTATAGTATTAGTATATTTGTAATGGAGACCACAACCTAAGGATAAGGGATACTTACGTATTAAACCAGGCATGTCAAACTGAGGGTCCCCTAAGGTCCAGATGGATTAGATTATGTCATACAAGATAACAAATTGGAGTAATTTAATTAAAGATTATTGCAGAATATTTCCTTTGTTGGGGTCACAGGTGTGCTTGCAAATGACTGCTGCGACCAGCGGGCCGTTAGTTTGAGATGCGTGCATTAAACTACCCTTTTACATGCCATCAGACTTATTGGGCATATAGTGCTAGACTTGTAGTTTATAGACCAACCGGCACTTGGTGGATGATGTGATCAGAATCACACCAGCCAACTTTACTTCCAAGGACTTTACTTAGTACCCAAATAAGGCTCTTTTTTAAAAAAAGTCCGGCTGCATTCAGATTTGAACCCATGATATTTTGATCCGCAGGCGAGCATCTAGTTGCTACACCATGGTAGCTTCCATTTTGTGTATTACTGTTTGTAATTGTATCATTGTTCATCTGTGGAATATGCTGAGAAAGGCTTTTTAGCCTAAATGTTTGTATCTCATTTGTGATTGTAATTATGTGGAGCTGACTAGTTCCAATTCTTGTTTGGATAGATATCTTCTCATGGTCACTAATGATGTCTGCCCACAACCTTCTGTCTCATGTACTTTCAATCCTTTCTGACACTGTTGTTCCTACCTACTCTATTGCCAGGCTGTCCATGGTCTTTTCTCTTGGTCTCCCTCTGCCTTTCTCCCCTTCCAAATTCACCGTTCTTATGACATAACCAGTTTTCCCATTCTCGCCTGTGTTCAAAGAATGTGTTCTGTTAATACAGATAATTAGTTCTCTTTAAGAGTTAATCTTTTTCAAGACATCTTCATTACATTGTTTATCTGCCAATGATGTTCTAATGTTTTGTATTTAAAAAAAAAATATTTGCACATCCCTGTGTGGGTTTCATGGTCACATTGTGGAGAAATTAGGAAAAGACCCACTGCCTACCCAAAAGCATGTGGTAAGAGTAGACTAATTGGGAGATTCTTTTGAAGTCAGCATCTGCCTGAGAGGCAAAGAACCAACAGTTATAAGTCAGATCTGTAAAATGGATGAGCAGACACAACACTAAGGTTCTGGAACAGGACTAGAATCCAGAAGTGGACGAATAACCAGAACCTTCTGCCAGAGTTTACAACCGCTGAACAAGAAGAAGATGAAGAAGATAACCTGCACACACAGAGTTCAAACAGTAAATCCTGAAGAAACTTTTCAAAAATTGAATCTACAACATTACATTTACACATTTCAGGAATTAATCATCTATTTGTTTAGAATACGTTAATGCTTAATGGGTGTGTGATCTCATTATCATATTATATTATAGTTGATTCATTTTTACTTTCTGAGGTATTTTTATCAGCAAAAGTGAGGAATTTCACAATGAAATTTTAATTTCAACAGTATGCCCCAGAAACATGATAATTTGGGAACTGCCATGTTAGATAATCATTGCTGTTAGTCAGATGTCACCAGAAAACTACAGTGTAGTATTTAAATGTTGTTAGATGGTCCCACATAAGGAAGCAGCTCATAATTGTGCTGACATTACTGCGGATCCAAGTACAATCTGTGTTAGATTCTAGCGACTGTAGAGTCAAATACAGGCAGTCACAGTGTTAAGTTTGGTTACCATTAGACAGTCATATAACTGTGGATATAGTGATCACTGAACAACTATAGCTATGGAGTTAGGGATTATTAGAAAACTGCACCTGTAAATACAGTAATGATTAAACAGCTACAACTGTGGGTAAAGTTATCATTAGACAATCACAGCTGTGGACAAAATTATCATCAGACAATCATAGTGGAGGAAATAGTTATGTTATCATTAGACAACTACAGTTGTTGGTATAGTTATCATTAGACCATCACAGCTGCAGAAAATATTATCATTAGACAATCATAGTGGTGGAAATAGTTATGTTATCATTAGACAACTACAGCTGTGGGTATAGTTATCATCAGACAATCCCAGCTGTGGAAATAATTATCACTAGACAGTCACAGTGGTGGAAATAGTTACGTTAACATCAGACAATTACACCTGAGGAAAAAGTTAATAGTTAATAGAAAGCTTATCCTCATTGCACATGGAACAAGACCATAAGCGCTCGGATCCCATCTTCAGTATATCCCCCAGCATGTGGCGACTGACAACACCAGTTCTGTGTTAGTTTACTTTTCTTCTTTGGTTACCTGTATAGTATTCATATTTGGCGACACCAAAAAAGTTATTATTGAACAATCACAGCTGTGGAAAAAGTTACCATTAGACAGCCACAGCTGTGGAAAAAGTTACCATTAGACGGCCACAGCTGTGGATATAGTCATTATTTGACATTATTATTTGCATTTGGGTTTCAGATTTCACTTATTTTATTCTGCAGTATTCTGGGTCCATTACTTAATATTGTTATAAAAGAATATTTTATCTTATTTTTTTCAGGGTACGGTTTTGTAGACTTTGAAAATCCACAGGCAGCAGAATTAGCAGTGCAAGCTTTACAGAATCAAGGCATTCAGGCACAGATGGCCAAAGTAAGTCTCTTGTGTTTTTGCATTGCTCCATGTTTTTCTGGTATTATAACCAAAGTCTATTATTAACAAAGTCTTGTTAACCAGCATAGGACTAGCACTATTAACCACGGGACGCTGATGTATGTGCTGAAGGAGGGATCTGAGCACATATGGGCATGTCTGGAATGCTGTGAAGATAACTCGTCGCATGACTCATAGCTCTGGTATAATATTTAATTAAATATATAGGGAAGGCCCTGTTCGTCTGCTTGATGCATCCTGTGTTTATGACTAGCTCTATAACTATAAAGACAAACTGATGTTTGATAGGGGATGTGTTACGTATTATGCTCACTCCCCTTTTACCTTCTAGAACCTTTCCATTGTAGGCTAAGTTAATCGAAGATTCAAGGTCAGTTTTAAAAAACACCTGCTTCAAGGGAAGATTAAAACATATGACAGTTCGGCTGGAAGGCTGGTGTGCTAACTACTGTACTATCATTGCTCTTGTGTGTGTCTTATGCCAGCATTTCAACAGCTGTTTGGATGCTAATATATTATAGATATAGTTAGGACTTCTGGATATTTGTCTTTTATCCCTGTTTGTGCATGCGTCAGCTATCTTTACTGTTTCTGTTTACCTTTTTCCTTCTTTGATTGCTACCTCCACAGTGAAGGCTAGCTTCATGTACCCATTACTGTAAGGCCCTAATCACTCCCATGGTCTCACTCTTATACTGTTATCCAAAAGCCTCAAGAACAGTTGTATAAAAAAGTATGCTGTGGAAATCAGATCCTAGTAATCAAGGAAATTGTTAAACTGGTTTGGTAACTTCTAAACCACAAAACACATACGCCAATTTTCGAAGCTGCAGCATTATATCTGTACGTATGTATCATTCAACTGGTTTGTTTTGTTTTGTTGACTGATGGTAAAATGGTAATTTTGTTTTTATGTATGCCACATGTTACTCACTATCCTCCTGGCAGGGCAGATCAAAGTAATGTGTTTCTGTACCAGTGACCTTCCAGTTTTGTCTTTCCTTTAACCTTTACTTCTTGAGAACTGGTATTTACACCTGGCATTTTATACCAGGTATGTGTTGTTTCAGTAGCCATGATAGTTCAGTGGCTAGCACATTTGTCTGGTGGCCTGGTAGTTACAGATTTAAATCCTCCCCATGTGGATTCCAAGACCCCATTCAGGGGATGGGGATGTGGGGTGGAAAGAACAAATCAACTGCCACATAACAAGCACGTCATAAGAGTCAACTAGGAATGCTTACTTCAAAGCATAAGTTCATCTGCCTTAGAGGCGAGGAATCAGTAGTCCCAGATCTGTAAAACAAATGTGAATGTAAAACTCGGGTTCTGGAACAAGATTAAAGTCAAGAAGTAGATGAATAACCAAAATGTTCCAGTAGAGTTTACAGCCGGTGAAGGTGAAGAAGAGGAAGAATCCCATGAAGGAAGATTACTGTAGCTGACCCGGGATCCAGATCAGTTCAGCATAAAATGGGTACCAAAAAATATTCTGGGAAGTAAAGGTGGTCTCTTTGTAATTGATGACATCTGCCTTCATGTGCCAGTTGGCCTATTAAAACATGGGGATAGCATCATATGCCCAGTTTACCTCAACAAATTGAAATAGGTCTATCTGACAACTCTAAGATTGCTGTGTGTTGCTATGAAACTCCGTTTAGAGTGGCTAGACTCGAAGCAGAGATGTGGTTTTTGAGATGAATGCAAAGAATATCATGGAGGGATAGAAAAACAAACAAACCATTTCTCAAGATAGATGAAAGTCGTAAACTTTTTTGACATGTTATGACAAGAAGTGGACTTAGGAACTTGGTAGTAATGGGCAAGATTGATAAAAATAGAGCGAGAGGAACACAAAGATTTAAGTACCTGGATGGCTTGGCCTTTACTAATTTTTGTCTTTCTACATGTTTAGGTCTTCCTATCTGCAGTAGAATAGTTAGTTACATTCCTTCTTACAGTTAGGCAGGTTTCATTTCATTCGTCATATATTTTCAGCCTTTTTTTTTTCTGTGCATAATTTTGTTTTGTTTTTTCTTCCAAATGTTTCATTTGTTGTCTTCTTTTCCTCAATTTTTGACTAACAACAATCTTTTCTCATTCTAAGGTGATATATTGGAATATGTATTAATGCTTAGATTTTAGTTATGTATTTACTAAAATAGGTAATAACGTTGCATTTTCTGAGAAATTAATAATAAATTTATCATCATATGAAATGTGTCACATTATTTTCAGTTTATTTGCAGGGTTCATAAGTTTAAATTATCACACTTTGGGCTCCCACAATTTCCACCAATGAAATTTAGTTTTAACAACATTTTTTATTTTAGCAAGTAAATAACACAGCTAAATCTTTGGTATTCTTATTCATATCCTAAACAATATGGAAAACCAGGCTCAACAGGAATACAATACACAAACAGGATATACCTTGTATTTACCTCATGCTTTAAAGCCATATTAGATTTCCTTTTGTCTGTGGCGGGGCACCAATGATTTGCTTAATCACTATCAATGATATTTCAGCCTTAAGTTAATACAGCTTTGTGTCATTATATAATGTTTATTAGTTTGTTGTCTGTCAACAGCAACAGGAGCAGGATCCAACCAACCTGTACATTGCCAATCTTCCAGTCTATTTCATGGAGAAAAATCTGGAAAATATGTTTAAAGAATATGGAACTGTAATCTCCACAAGGATACTCCGTAAACCAGATGGAATTAGCAGAGGAGTTGGATTTGCCAGAATGGAATCTAAGGAGAAATGTGACCAAATTATTAATGCATTTAACAACAAGATGTTGCCAGGTAGGTGACAGTTTGGATAATTTATTCCCCATTGATTGTTTATGAGCACATGTGGGTTGTCTGAAAGATCTATGACTTTTTGTTGTTGTTGTTGCTTGTTACAAATGACTATGATTTATTATGTATTAATAAGCCTTTTTATAATGACTTTGTCATTCCTGGATTTGCGATAATTTATTCCCCATTGATTGTTCATGAGCACCTGGGGGTTGTCTGAAAGATCTGTGACTTTTTTTAATTGATTGTTATTAATGACCAGGATGTATTATATATTTAATAAGGTTTTTTGGAATGATCCTTTCATTCCTAGATTTTCATGAAACACTAGCAATTCTATAGTGCATAAGATCTTCTATTCCTTCAGTTTCTTTAGAAAAATGTGGGGGGGGGGGGTGTGGGGGGGAATTTTTGGAGGGTATAAGGATATACTGTTCTTTCTAAAAAACTGTGTAATTTGGTCTACATTTCTGTAAGGTTATTCTTGATGCCATCTTGATTGCGTCTTCTGCCTGGTCTTCCCCTTGCTCTGCGTTCTCTTCTCTACTATGGCTGTCTGTGGTAGCTGGTATCCGGGGTATTCCATCAGATAGTGAAACCATTTCATTTGTTGTTTAATGAACTGTATGACTGGTTTCAGTCCAAGTCTACTTCTTTTTTTTTTTAATGTTAATGCATTGGATATCTACCTTTAAGACTCACATTTGATATTCTCTAAAAACTCTACAATTTTAGTATTTTTCAACCTATGTAATGCCTTTGAGATGTCTTGACTAGATGATAGACATAGGTTGTAGTTGCAGGAACATTTAGTCTACCATCATTGTACATTTATTAAACGGTTTTGTACCACCTTCCTGCAATTGAACAGGTAAAGGTAAAAGGTAAAGTTGGGAGATGTGAACCAGCATCATTGCACACGGTTATAAACCATAAGTGATCTGCCACCAATACGGACAGCTGATAAAAAACTGTCCGCCTGTGTCGCCGTCCGCACATAACTCTGTAGCTACAACAACGTTTGTCCATTTACCCCAGAGTGTCACTCTGGTACCCATTTCCTAGAGGCTGGGAGAACCGCCTGGTTTCGAACACTGACCGTGGCTGCAGCGAGCTGCAGCTGGATTTGAAAGTGAGACTCTTATCGACTGCGCTAATGCGGCTCCCTGAATTGAACAGGTGCAGTGACGTAACCTTGTGCATGAAATAACTAATAAGAGATGTAAGTAAAGCCAAAGTAAACAACCCCCTTTTACACCTTCAGGTGTATTGGACATATAGGGCTAGACCTATATTTTATGGACAACTCAGCACCCAGTGGGTGATGTGGTCAACATAAGGCTGGCTGCCTTTACTTCCCAAGTTAAGAGATGTGATAAGGTATAAAATGACATAATATAATAACAAATACAATATCTTAGCACTGTCTAATAACAAATGTGTTGTGTTCTTGACATAAATAGTCTTAAAAAGCAGAAAAATATTTCTATTGGTTTATAAAAAAATTAAAAAAAGAAAGAAAAAAGAGATATATATGCTGAGGTGTGTTGGGCACACGGCGTTAGACTAATCATTTTTTCAGTCTACAAGCATTTAAAGAGTCATATGCTCATATTTACACAAGCTGTCTTTATTTTCCATGATATTTTCTGTTAACAGGTTAAGGCTGGGTCAGTCTAGGTGCCCATTGCAATTTAAAGGGAAAAAATCTGCCTAAGTGATGATTTAGATCTGTAAACACTGGTCAGAAAGCAAGCATGTTAGCAATATTGGTTAGTTAGTTAGTTAGTTAGGAGGTTAGTTAGTTAGCTGTGTATTCTTTACAGGAGGTTGTAGAACCAACCCCATCATTTTTTGCTGTTGTAGTTTTTGCAAGCAAATTTATGCCCAGTAGTTTGCCATTGCTTTCTGAACAGTCTGCTTCTCAATACCACTTTCGAGACCAACGCAAGGCGCAAGGCCAGCAACTGGAATCAAACATAGTTCGCAACACCTAAGCCACAGAGCTGACACAATATTAGTACTTTTGCTAAATGTAGAGGAAATTTAATGTTTAAACTAATATTTATGTTAAACTTTTATATTTAAATATTTGTAAATCACAGCAGATTGTAAATACTAACAAAAATATATATAAGAAAATGGTGAAGTAGCCATGTGGATTCTTGTCTACAGGCAGTTCAGAACCTTTGTTAGTGAAGTTTGCTGATAGTGGGAGCAAGAAGAAAGCTACACCTACAGTGCTGACACCACGGCTGTTCACACCAGGGAGGGACGATGCAAGCATCTCTGTAAGTACTTTTGCTACATATCCTCTTTGTCTTGTTCAAGAAAACAAATTTAGTTTTAGAACCACTGAAATCAGGACTAATTATTTTATTAGTTTTCATATTTATAGCTTTAAACCAACTTAGGCCAAGCACTTTGTAGACTTGTTCCTTATTTGTTAGTTATTTGCAGCTCTAGTTTTATATGGGATGAGGTAGCTAGTCTCACAGCAAGCCTCCTTAGTCGTACAACAAGCATTATGTGTTGTAAAGTTACTAATCTTTGCTTCGTTTAATCCTATCACCCCTGGAACGGCTTAATCTAGCCTTACAATTGTAGCAGTAAATGCTGATGTATCACCAGTTCTGCAGTGACCGAACTGTCCTCAGAAAGCTTGGTTAAATACCATTGGTTTTATGTGCATCTGCGTAGTGTTTAGGAGGCCTGAATGTGAATGTATTCAAAATAGCATTTAGAGGAGTTTTCTTGTAAATCCAATATTTTTTTAAAGCCAGGTTGATTTTACAATTTGTTGTGATGGAATGCCATTATTCCCAACTAGAAACTTGAACCAAACTTTTTTTTTAAGGAGGGGGTTATATTAATTTAAATTTGCAAAATTATCTTTGTTTCCATGTGTAGTATCAGTTACATTTATACTGATTGTCATGGATCAGTATTAAGTTTATTTTTTTTCTTCTTTTTTGTGTGGAAAGTTCTGTTTGTTTATCCACTTCTGAACTTTGTTCTTGTTCCAGAACATGAGTTTTATGTGCACATCTGCTTTACAGGTCTGGCTTATCTGTATGTGGACTGTAAGTTTTTTTTGCCTCCCATGCAGGTGCACTACAATTTTGATGAATCACCCCTAATTAGTTGTCTTTTAGAACATGCTTGATTCTGGAGAATGTCAGGGGGATATGTCAGTCTATTCCCCCCCCCTCCCATGTGCACTGCCCTCTCTGCAGTTTTCCTAGAAATAGGTTCCTAATCAAAAGCCTTATCAACATAGATAGGTTCAGTGTTTATTTTTCAGTCAGAGTGCATCTGTCTATGAGGCAAGGAGCCAAAAGTCTGCACACAAATGTTTAAAAGCCGGATCTGTAAAATAGATTTGCATACAACACTGTAGTCCTAAAACAAGAAACAATTACAGAAGTGGAGAAAAACCAAGACTTTCCACTGGAGTTTACAGCTGGTGGATGCTAAGAAGAAACAATTACAGAAGTGGAGAAAAACCAAGACTTTCCACTGGAGTTTACAGCTGGTAGATGCTAAGAAGAAACAATTACAGAAGTGGAGAAAAACCAAGACTTTCCACTGGAGTTTACAGCTGGTGGATGCTAAGAAGAAGAGTTATGGAGTAGATCACAAAGAGTAAATCCCAGTGTGGGATCCGGAGCCCCATAGAAGGGAAAACAAAAATAGACCCACTGCCTCCCTGACAAGCATGTCATAGGAGTGGACTAATTGGGGACCTCCTTTGAAGCCTGAGTACATCTGCCTGAGAGACAAGGAACCACAAGTCTGCATTCAAATAAGCGAGATTGGTGAAACGGATGTGCATGCAACACTCAGGTTCTGGAGAAAGACTCAAGTCCGGAGGTGGGCAAACAGCCAGAAGATTTCCACCAGAGTTTAGTCAAAACTAATCAAATTGGATAAGTAAAGAAAGATTCTTACAATACCATTGATCAAAAAAAAGAAAGGGCATGGGTGGGGTGGGAATGGGGGGGGGGGGGATAACTTTCTACAAAATCTAATCATTAAAGAAAACATGTTCATAAACAGCATTATGCCTCACAGAGCAGCATTTGTGACAGCTTATACTGTAGGAATTCATTGGATGAAAATACCAACTAAAAAGAGTTAACTTTTGAAGATAAATTGAATGTAGAAATATTATTAAATGCATTAATTCATTATTCTCTCTTCCAACGGCTTTAAGAGTAATTTTACTCATTTCCAGGCCCTGCAGTTTGCATATGAGCAGCAAGCTTTAGCAGCTAATTTAAATGGGTGAGTAAAAATTGAACATATTTAAACATAAAAGGGATAATATTGCAGTGTTTGTTTCTGGAATCAGTGCTTTTGAAGCATTTGTTTATTAATATTTCTGCTGAATATGTTTCAACAAAAGAATATTCTAAGAGACAAAATATTGTTCCTTGAATAGAAATTATTTATTATTTTTATTATAAGGTTGTGTGTTCGCTCCCAGGCGGAGTCGGACTTTTGAAAAAAAATGACCTTGGCTCCCAGGTCGACCCAGCCATGAGTGGGTACCGGGTGGCCACGTGATTCTGACCACATCTTCCATCTTGTACCGATTGGTCTATAAAAATATAGGTCTAGCCCAATATGATAAAACTGGCTGTCACCCAAAAATAACAATAAATGATGAAGAAATTGAAAATGTCACAAACTTTGAATATCTAGGCTCTGTAATAAACAGCAATGGAGACGGTTCAACAGAAATTAAAAGGAGGATGGACATGGCAATGCAAAGATTGAACAGCCTTAAAAGTCTATGGTTAAGCACCAGCAAGGAGATAACAAATTAGAATTTTGAGAGCATGCATCTTCCCTGTGGCTACATGCAGATGTGAGTTGTGGACTATCTCTCAGTCCTTAAGAAAGAAAATAGGGGCTTTTGAGCTGAAATGCTGTAGAAGGATTCTCATAGTATCTTGGACAAAGAAGAGGAGAAATATTGACATCTTAAAAGATCTGAACATCAAGGAAGATCAGCTAATAAATAGCATCCTTTCTCAGAAGCTGAAATATTTTGGTCATATCAAGCGCCACAACGGATTGGGAAAAATTATAGCAGAAGGCATGGTACCAGGAAGTAGGGGCAGGGGTCAGGATATAAGTGACTGCTTGAGTCTGAAAATACATAGGCGGGAGAACTGGCGAGAGACCGAGTTTCTTTCAGGCAGTCTGCGATGAGAGTGACTTTCTGCAAAGGACCTACTACATGATGATGATGATGAGCCCTATATGCCCTATACGCCTAAAGGCGTGGAAAAGGGTCCTTTACTTTTTATTATTATTATTATTATTATCATGTGCCATGTTGAGCAACACAGCTGATTATGTTTCTCCACTAACAGTTGTCCCATTTTCTTGATTAGTTCAACCACTAATTGTCTTCCATGCTACTTCCCACCCATCCAGTTTATACTCCTGATGTCTTTCTATATGTATGCATGAGTATGTTTGTTCGATTTAGTGTATATGTAGGTGTGCATATGTGTGCTTTTGTGTATTAGTATTTGTGTGTCTTTGTATGGATGCGTGTAAATTTGAGCATATGTGTGTGTGCATGCGTGCATGTGTGTGTAAATATAAGCATATGTGTGTAAGTAAGTAAGTAGAACGCAGCACTTATGGGTTACACCCGTGTGCCATGATGTTGATCCGTTGAATAAACACAATCATAAACCAGGTAAGAATATTAAAAAAATACAATTAGTATCATCATTTGCAATTAAGATATTAACGCCATTGCTCTCTTGTCTGTAACCAGCTTAATTAATGTTTTATCTTACAGCCAGTACATCAATTATGGGGTCCCCACTCAAGCCCTCATGCCTGCAGGACTCATGCCTAGGGGATATACATCAATGGCTGCATCATCACCTATGACAACCTACCAAATGTCCCCCAACCCAGCAACCACAGGTTGGATGCCCCAGTACTTGCTTCAGCCTCATCAGTTGTCACATGTGAGTAATTGATTGCTTTAGCCCTCACTTTAAGCTAGTGGTCACATTGATGTATCCCTCCATGTGAATGTAGATTCCAAAGCTTACATTTATCTGTGTGACTTATAGTATTTGAAAAATTCATTGCTTAGATCAGATTTATGTAATATTATATTCAATAAACTTTCCCCATCTTATTAAAGTATCTCAGATTCTGATGTCAATGCTACAAGAATGGCCTATAAATAGACATTCTTTAGGCAGAGGTTGATTGACTATGAGTATGTATGTTTGTGTGCGCGTGCACATTAACAAATGGATAAGATGGAAAGACAGAGTCAGAGAATGTGAGACAGAGAGAAAGAGCAATATTAATATGTTCTAATTAGCACAATTGTAAAATGATAGGAGGATTCAACACAAATTTTATTCCTAATGGTATGGTCCGTTTTGACCTAATTTTTTTTTGCTGTATAGCAAAAGCCACAATAAAAATGATGAAATCTTTAAAATCAACAACTAAATAATGACACACATTTACTATAGAAAATAAGCAATGTTTTTAATAACAGAAAATGTAATACAGAAGTAAAAACATAGAATAATTAAAATTCTGGCAGGTTCTGTCGCCCATGCTTCATGTATCATAATGCACTTCATGTGTACTATTTTATTCCAAGATAGTTCTCACAGCATTTGTAGTCAGTATGTGTAACTCATTTTTCTTATAGTCCATGTTGTATGGCATTGATCATTATGTTTGTGTACAATATTCTGTTAAGTATACTATTTCTGATGCAGATATTCTTCCATGATATGATGCCAGACTGCAGTGTCCTCGCTTTTAGTCTCCCTCTGCCTCTCTTCCCTTTCAAATTGCCAGTTGTCATGACTTATTCCACTTTTTCTCTTCTCATGTCATGACCAAACAATGTAGATTATCTTCTTCAAATTCATGTAGTTCTTCTTGTGAATTTATGACTTTCTAGACATTTAATTATTTTATTTTATCTGTTTATGGTGTTCTCATCCTTCTTCTCACCACCTTCCACACAGTTTATCACTAATCTTAGTATAATAAAGTTTACACAATCATTATCATTACTTAATTTTAGTGTTGCCTTTCCTTTGGAGTTTATCGTAAACAGTGCAGGGTGGGAGAAGGATCATCTTAAATGTGCATCATGTGTTCTATAAAATACTGCTTAGACTGTGTTATGGAGAGAAGAAATTTCATCACTGACTTTAACTGGCTGTAATTCCCCTGACACCTTATCCTAATCAAGAACCTAGCTCAGTGGCATGAGCAATCAGGTCTCTTCACACCATGTGATCTTCAACGTGTATCAGTTCGTGTGTTGACATCACTCCATATCAGGAAAAAAGCTTGTCAAGAATCATCTCATCTTACATTGTCTTCCTTTGTCTCTTTTCCCACAGATCTTTCCAATGGTCTTTCTTCTTATAACACGACCAACATGTATCAGTTCGTGTGTTGACATCACTCCATATCAGGACAAAAGGCTGTCAAGAATCATCTCATCTTACATTGTCTTCCTTTGTCTTTTTTCCCACAGATCTTTCCATTTGTATTTCTTCTTATAAAACGACCAAAAAGTGACGACTGACTCTTTTTGATGTTTGTGATAAGTTGTCGTCGAGCCCCAGCTTCTTTAAATACATCTAGGTTACTCTTTTTGGCTGTTGAGGAAAATCTAAGAATTCTTCTGTAAAACCACATCTCTGAGGCCTCAAGAACTACTTCCTATACTATAACACTATTGTACCAATCATTAGAAAAGGTGCATCAAAAATCATTAAGCATATCGTCTGCAATGTGGCTCTAATGACAAGTTTATGATCACCTAGTATTTCTCCTGTCCCAAGTATTTTCATGCCCAAGGCACTTTAATATTCTGTGTCCATCACTGTGGTTTACCCCTGCCTCTTCTTCCAGGAACAATGCTTTCCATTATTGACAATTCCATTACTGAAATCAAACTTGCTGTTTGTTTTTGAAGACATAATAAATCTTCTTTAATTGTAAAATATTCGTCTGGTGAAATTTGTGCTTACCTTATTGTGAAAAAAAGGTCATAGAGATTGTTAATTTGTAAATTGTAGTTTTCTTTTAAGGTGTCAAATAGTTTTCATGAATTTATTCTTCAATTTTCCAAATTTTGAATTTGATTTAAACTTCTGATTATTGTTTGTGATTGTAAGCTTCAATTAAATTCCAATAATTTAGCATAACACTCTGTCCTTCTCTGTCTCTTTCTCTCTCTCTTTCTATACATATATATATATATATATATATATATATATATATATATATATATATATATATATATATATATATATATATATATATATATAGAGAGAGAGAGAGAGAGAGAGAGAGAGAGAGAGAGAGAGAGAGAGAGAGAGAGAGACTCATTTTAGCAAAGCAAAGACTAAACAGTATAAAGAACCTTTGCGCAGCACCTGCAAGCGAGTTTAAGTAAATATTTTGAGATCATGCATATTTCCTATGGCTCTTATGGATAGGAATCACAGATTATTACCCAGTCATTGAAGGAAAAAATCAGAGCTTTTGAACTGAAATAAGACATACAAATTCTTAGAATACTATGGACCATAAAGAATAAAAATGCTAACATCCTACATGATCTGGGTATGGAGAAAAATTGGCTAATAAATAGCACCCTGTCCTGAAAGCTGAGACTTTTTGGCCCTGTTACACATAACGATCGTGTGGAGAAAGTGATTAAAAAGGGTATAGTTTCCAGAAAATGACACAAAGGTAGACCTCCACGAGGCAGACCTCGGTTGCACTGGCAAGGATCCTGAAATACTTTGGGTAGATTTTTTTACTCCAAAGTTTGCCCGGGCAGCACTGTTAGTCTACTCTCTTTTGATTTCCTACTGCCAAAGTATTTTTTATGTGCGCAACCATACACACGGGCGTCCGATCTTACTAACCAGAGACCAGGGGGAAATTACTAGAAGTTCACGTGAAAAAATCCCAGCCTTCACCGGGGTTTGAACCCGGGACCTCCAGCACTCAAAGCGGATGCTATACCCCGAAACCATTCAGCCCGCTAGAAGAAGTAAACATAAATATCTGAATGGCTTGACTGCACGTCATAATCAAGACTATTGCTCAGTCTTTGGAGATCTTGTGAGATGGTGACCTCTTATTGCCAGGACACATTCTGATGATGATATATATGAAAAACTGAAGACTGCCTTTTTTTTAATGAGCAACTTAAGACTGCATTCAGCAACATATATTAATCATGAAAGAATCCTTGCATATTTATAAAAATATGTATGAAGTCACAATATAAACCTATGAATTTGCATATAGGATCTTAAATCCACTAAGTCAAACATCTATTTCTAATGCTTGTCCCATATAGTTTGAGAATGATAGTATTATATGTAAGCAGATATTTTGTTGGGATTCTTCCTCCAAAGCTTTTGAAATTGTGTGGAACTTTAGTATTGTTCTCAGGGGCATGATAATTGGAACATTATTCATCAGATCTTTCTTTACATTGAAAGCATGGTCTCTTTTCAATGCAGAGTTTTTTAATGCATGCTTGCATTTGGTTTCTTTATTTTAATGTACATAGTGTTTGCATGTAACAACAGTACCTTACATTATTTAGACAATATGGAAACCTATCAACACTGTGTATACAGTTGTAAACTATTTTAACTTGAGCAAAGATCAACTTATTCCTAGCATGACTTACATGTTTGTTCATGACTGAAACATTTTTGGCACATAATTTATGAGTTATGTACATAATGACAGCCACTCTCAGGAGTAAACAATAAGGTTAGGTAATATGTTAAATTAAGCATAAATATATATAATTAGTGTCTGTTCTGTGGTTAAGTCGATGTGAACGCTTCATAATGCCGGGATGCCGGGTTCGATCCCAGCTGCGGGCCATGGGCTTTGCGTTAGTTTCGACAGAGGTATCAAGAAAGCCGACCGTCCAGAAAGCAATGGCAAACTACTGGACGTAAATTTGCCTAGAAAAACCACACAACAGCCAGGGGCTGTTGGGGTTGGTTCTGCAACATTCTGTAAAGGATACACAACTAACCTATATTTAATTAGTGAGCATTGCTGGCCTTATACGTATGATAAATCAACTACATATGAAACTCGTTATTTCAGAAACATGGACAACAAAGTGAAAAGACAAAAGATAAAACACAAAATGATAATAGAAACACAATTTTACAGTTTACAAGGACTCACCCTTCAAAACATAACCCCTAAAAACCTTACTCTTTGAAATCCGAAACAAAAAACATTGCATTTAAAAAGACTAGTTACAATAACACAGTTTTAATACCTAAAATTGATTTGCCTCATTATCTCTGGTATTCCTACATACATTCAGGATAAAAACCAGTTTTCCGGAAGGCTAACCTGGTCAACAAATGCTAGCAGAAGTTGGATATGACGACTGAAAGGCACAAATATCGCAGTCATGATTTAATAGGGTACAATGCAATTACATCTCTGGATGAACACAGAAGAAGAAAAAACCAGTTTTAAGTTTGCTAGATAAATTTATCCCAGAAAAGCCTGATTCCATATCCATAAAAGTAAATAAAGGACCCTTTTTACGCAAAAGTGGCAAAATGGTTTGTCAAAACAAAACACAGTATAGTGATAAGTAAATCAAGAGACAGACATTATTTTAAAAAACTGGACTGTAAGCTAATAAAGTAGAGGGAGGTATAACATCTGAGGTAAGATGTCTTGCAGAGATTAGAACAAGAATTGCCACTGCAAAAGTGACCTTTAGCCAGATGCAAAAGATACTTGCCAATAAAAAGATGTCAGTTGCAGTGAGTAAAAAATGCCAAGGTGCTGTAGAGAGCCTGTGTTGTTCTATTATTGTGTACATAGAAAATAACCAGATAAGCTGAAAAGCACTTACTTAAGCCGAAAAGCACTTACTCACAGCAGAGATTTGGTTTTTTGAGAAGTATGCAAAGAATGTCTTGAAACTCTGAAAGATAAATGAAGCAGTCCTTCTTGAGATATATGAAAGCCATAAACTGATTACAGCAATTATATGCAGACAGCTTATGCTTTTTTTTTTTTTTTAATGTGGATATGCTATAAGAAGTAGGATTGAGAACTTGGTGACAGTAGGCAAGATTTGTGGAAAAAAAAGTAAGAAGAATGCAAAGAGATAAATACTTGGATGGCTCAGCTATATGGATAGGGTGAAAACAAAAGTGCTGATCTGATCTGTGATTCTGGTGATCGTGTGAGATGGCAAAACATGACAGCATATACATATTGGCAGGGCATTTGATGAAGAAGATGATGATAATGCAAAGAAGTTGTCCAGTCTAATTTTTCTTTTACTATAGTTTCCTCTTTGGTGTTTTTCTTGTTTGTGAACCAGTTTCTGTATCTGTTTTTGATCTAAACTACTGTGTGTGTTAATTTTTAAAACAGATTCACAAACTCAAAATGTTCCCAATTATAATGTAGTTGAGAATATATTCTTTTTTTTTTAAATCTTAATTTTGTAAGTTAAGGGAATATTTATTCAGTCACCTGCATAGTTTTGTTTTTCTTTAATACATTTGAATTCTTAATGTCACACATAATTCTCGTTTACTAAAGTATTGTTTTCATAATTCTGTATCACTTCATATTTCCCTAAAGAGGACAAAATGGCTAGACACTCGTCTGCAGGCCTGAAGTTGTGGGTTGAAATCCCCATTGAGCTGTTTTTCCCCCTTTAGAAATGGCCTTGGATCCCAGTGTGACCTAGCCATAAGTGGGCAACAAGTGAAATCCAGGGAAGTAAAGGTGGCCAGCCTGATGTTAACCTCATCATCCACTGTGGGCCAGATGGTCTATCAAAATATGAGTCTAGCATTATTTATCAGAAGTGCCATTGGTATGTTAGAGTCCTCTACTTTTGCTTTGTATGTACAACAGGAAGTAAAGGTTAAAACTTGTAAATTGTGCATGCTCGTGTGTCCAGCATTTTTATTTGAAGCCCTGTGGTAGTTTACTGTACCTGCATGTGTGTTGTGGTATGCTTTAGTGTTGCTAACAGTGTGGTGTCTCTAATCTACAGATACTACCAACTACAGCTCTCCACCATGATGTGTCTGCCATGCTGGATCCTAATGGTCTGATGTAGATCATGCCAGTAGTAACCCTATACAAAACAGCCTCATTTTGTATCTGCAGCCCAGATTTTTATCTTCACTTGGGGCAGAAATTTCATTTTTACTTATCTGCCAGCAGCAGTTTTCTTACTTGTCTTATTTGTTGATGACATCTCTTCTTTTGTCATATTTTGTGTGTCCTGACTTTGCATATGCCTGAGACTTATACAGGACTGTACAAAGACGTTGGTACAGTTTGATGTTTTTTTAAAGTAATTTTAAACTGTCTTAAAATAAATGCAAAATAAATGTTCTGATAATGAATTCCGCATCATGATTTTTTTTTTAAAGCTTTTGTTGGCATTTTTTTTTTTTTCATAATTTTAAAAATGTCACTTCCTAAATGGGTCTGCTATTTTTTTTTTTTTTTTTAGATTTTAACCAGACAGAGTGTCATTTAATGCATTCATAAAGATGCATTACTGCTTTTCAAAAGGAAAAATTGTCTTTGTAGGTTTGTAGTTAAAGAAAAAAAAAAGATAAAATAAGTTTGAATTGCTTTTCGTCCAGATTTAGGTATAATGATATTTATGTAGTAAAGATTGGGACATGTATTTATTTACCTCATATAATATATACAGCTGCAGTAACAAGACAGAACAGTGTAAAGATATTTCTTATCAGCTGTGATAGATTTTTCTTATACTGAAAACATGCATATTTATTAATTGCATGAAAATCAAATACTTTAAAAAGCAATATTGAAAATAGTGAATGTTGTTACTCAACTATCCTTTTTTTTTTTTGCTTTCCCCTCTAATCATATGATTTAATTTTTCTAATACATGTTAGTGACTAGATATACATTAAATAAAGAAGATGGTGGTAGTTTGGGCAGATCTGGATGGGATGTGAAAAGAGAGAATCCCACATTGACATTGAAATGAAAAATGAATTAATTGAGCAAGCAAGAGCATCCAAGAAAACTCATACAGCAAACGATCATAAGAGAGGCCGGGGGAGAGGGGGGGGGGGGGGGGTTTACCCATGATTTAGACAAGATTGCCTAGGGTAGAATGGAATGGGAGAATTGACTGCAATCCCAGTATGAAATATAAACGGCGAAATATGATGATGCCTTGGATGGAAATAGGATGTTCTGCTTTAACGCATCTTTCATTTGAAAATTAACTTCTGTGTTACAATGAAATAGCATCTGCATTAATAGTTCTGCTCGTAGTAAGTGGAAGTTATACAACAACCACTTAATTTAACTCATCAACTGTGTGTTTTCCAGTCTAGCAATTTTCTTTTTTTGGCATGCTTTTTTTTTTTTTTTTATAAATATTTTCTTCACAAAATTAAGGCTAACAGTTTACCTAAGGCAATTCAAAATTAAAAAAAAAAAAAAAAAACTCCAAGGACTAAATTTTTAACATTTTAATTTTAGCTAACTGTTACTTCTCCTGCTTTTATGTTATATTTTTACAAATTGTTGGATTAGAAAGAATCAGACATAATTTAAATGGTTCTGTGACTCATTTACTATGCAACATTTATGAACGTCTTTATTTAAGTGTGTGAGTGAGACAGTGATTTTTCATGAGGAGTTTGTTTTATCTATGTTACTAACAACAAATGGTGAACTCATATTTCCATGAGATACTGTGAGCTAGTTTTAAATGTAGTCCCAATTTTTTTTTAGAATGCTGGTTTTTTTCTACGATATCTTCATTGCACATTGTTCGATTTTGCTGCGCATGTGAATTTTACAATGTTCCAGATTTTTGCCAGTGAGTGTAAATAATCATATTTGCCTGAATATCTGTCTGAGCTAGGAGGCTTCTGTAGTTTTAATCTGAAATATCCTATTGATTAAAAAAAAACTGAAATGTATTTTAACCACAAGTGAGCCATAGGTGGTACATGGAATTGCATTCAAATTATTTTGCACCATAAATACCTGTAGGGATCATTTGTTTCAGAGTGGGTATATTCTTCATGTTCATGCTCATGCTGTCCATTTACAGATGGTAACCAACAGTAGTCACCCAGGGTCAGGCAGTACCCTTGACCCTTCTTCCATGATCCCTCAGCTGGCAGCTCAGATGGGACAACTCCAACTGTCAACAACTTCGGTAGGAACTCAACATCAGCATGTTGCCTATCTGCTATTCATTTCTCTAGGCCAATGACTCTTTCATATTGATAACCATTATCTCCCCAGCAAGACTTTTCATTTCTACTAAAATTTCTTGTTTGAAAATGTTTCACTCCATCAAGTTTGCTTGATTTTGTGCTTTAGTGTCCTCTTTGATGCTGTAAAATGCATTAACAGGTCTTTGTTCTTTTCACGTAGCTTAACACAGTCTGGATAGCCAAGCTGTGTAATGTAGAGAAAGTCTCTTATTTAACAGCATGCTATATTTTCAGATTCATAAGCATGAACAACAGAATTTCAGCAGATGACGCAACTTTCTTTTGTGTTTAAATATTGTTTTAAAAAAAATGTCTCATTGTCATTGCTTGCTAGATTCATCTGTGCCTTAACTGACACAGACTGTTTCCTTTGACTTTGTTCTCTACTATAGTTTTAGTTTCATTACAGGTCTAGAGTATGTATCATTTATCCAGACCATTAGTAAGCACCAGTCTTGTCCACTGTTAAGTATTCTTTAAGTCTGGAGATGGATTGGGTTTACATTTATGTGTATCTGTAAATGATACACACTTCAATATGTTTGTGTGCAGGAATAGGAAATATCTTTAATTGACTTTATGATGGGTTTGATCAAGATTTCAAACATTTCCTAATGATGTTATGTGAGTCGTGGACTATCTCCCAATCCTTAAGAAATAAAATAGAGGCTTTTTAGCTATAGAAAGATTTTCAGAATACCATGGACAAAGAAAAGAAGAAATACTGACATTTTAAAATATCAGAACATCAAGTAAAATTGGCTAATAAACAGCATATTGTCTCAGAAGCTTAAATATTTTGGTTACATTAAGTGCCATGGTGGATTGGAAAAAATTATAGTAGAAGGCATGGTACCAGCAAAGAGAGGCAGGGGCCAACCAACATGAAGATGGGCAGAGGATATAAGTGTCTCCTTGAATATGAAAGTACATGAGGCGCGAGAGCTGGCAAGAGACCGATTCTCTTTCAAGCAGACCGTGATGAGAGCGACATTCTTCAAAGGACCTGCTACATGATGATGGTGATGATTAATGATCTTAGATTTGAAAATTTATTAAATTCTGTTAGTACCAAGCAACTGTTTGGTTCTACTTATTAATATTTTGTTTTTTTATTTTAAACTTATCATGCCACATCCAGTTACAACAGTCCACACTGTATTCTGGAAAAATTACAAGTCATTATCATTTGCCTCAGAACAGCGCACAACCAATTATGCAGCCACACACACACACACACACATATATATATATATACATACATACACACAAATTTTAGGATAGGTGACTCAGCCATGTGTGCATGTGGAAAGTCTCCCCAGAGAGCAAATTACATATTCCAAAACTGCACTGAATATCACATATTATGGCAAACCTTTAAGGCAGAAAGAACAACAGTGCAAAGTAGACCTGATGGGCCAGTGAGTGAACTAAAACCAACAGTAAAAATTTTTACAATAGACAAAATTGCAGATATAGACAACTTATTTAAGGCAAATGAAAAAAGAAGAAAAAAGACTAACCAATACTGTTCCAGTTATTACATCAACTCCTCTCCTTAAATACTATAATTTCAAGTCAATCTGTCCCAAACATTTATTACTGTAGGTAAAATCTTTCTAAGAGAGAATGGGCCACATTTTGTCTTCCTGAAACTGAAAAAGTTAATTATTTTATTAAAGAAAAGCTTTTGCTGTAAGACACAAGCGGTACTTATTTTATTATTTTGTTGTTTTACTTATACTTCACCATTAAAACATGCTGTCTTCTAGCTGGTAATGCGAAAAATGTTTCATAATTTATTATTTATTATGAAATGTAATGGCTTTTATATCTGCATTATATTTTGGAGCTCTAGAGGTAGAAAGATGCATAAATATTAAATGTTATAAACAAATTTAATTGAAAGTTTTTTTTACCTTGCCCCATAAATTCATCTCATGTTGAAAATAAAATGTTGAGGAGCATAGTGTAATACTGAGCATAAATATATAAAATAGTGTTTTATTTCAAATGTCAAGGATTTAGACAACAAAGACGTGTGAATTGTCTGCAAGCTCTGCATATTAATTGTCTGTAAACATTAAATTTTCAATAAACTCTACTGTAGATTTCCCCCAAATTTCATTTTAAGCAAATACAGCTCATGCTGGAAAATGAAAGTACTTTTAATTACATCTGTATTTTTTTTTTTTAAATAAATTGTCTTGTACATACACAATCAAAGGTCTTTTTTAAATAGTTTGTTCATTTCTGCAATTTCCCCCCAACTGCTATTATTATTCAAGGTGCTTTTTTTTCACACTTAACCTTAAAGGTAATAATGATGTTTTGCTTACATTTTCTTTGTATTACTGTAAAATCTACCAACCAAAGAATCATTTTTAAAATATGTGTGCGTGTTTTTTTTTTTTTTTTTTTTTTAGCTGACATCAAAGTCATAATAGTTTAAATGCTTTTAGCTTGGACTCAAATTTATTTGTTAAACAATGCTAATTTTAGTTAATGATACCATTTATTGGGGGGGGGGGGGGTAGCCAGGGTAGCATAGTGGCTAGATGCTTTCTTGCCGACCCAATGATCATAAGTTCAAATTAGCAATGTACCAGATCTTTTTTTTTTTTTTCAATTCACCTTGTCTCCCACGTTGACCAAACCTAGAATGTGTACCAGAAAATGTCATGGAAGACCAAGGTGACCAGTCTGTTGTTGACCATATTACCCATTGAGTGCCAGCTGGTCTGTGAAAATTTAGATTTAACACCTAAGTCGAAAGCACCTCAAGGTGTGTAAATGGTCTTTTACTTTTTTTAAACCACTATTTAGACAATTA